AAACTCAGTCTCCTCTGGAGCAGGAAAGGGCCATGCTTCTCGCCCCCTCACCTGGCAGCTGTGTTTGCATCCAGGAGAGAAGCAGTGAAAGAAAGGAGGGAGAACGGCAGGAGGGAGAGCCCTCAGCAGGGTTCCTGCAGTTGGCGCCAGAGTTCTGGCTCCTCTTGTGACTCTGGGCCCTGCCAACTCCCATCCACAGAGTTGTGCTGGGGCTCAGCCCCACACCACCCCTGTTCCTGTGCAGCCACTGAACCCTGGAGCTTGGGAAAGGAGCAGGGGGCAGGCGGGGAAAGAAGGAAGCTCTGCGGGTGTCCAGCAGCAATGGGACCAGAGAGGACCCAGCCAGTGGCACCTCAGTTGATGTGCTCTGGATGCCCCAGGGAAGGACCTTTTGCTCCAGAAGGGATTCTACTGCAGAGCAGAAGTGGCAGCCCTCTGGGGGGAGTCCATGCCATTCAAGGCTGCTGTGGGGCCGAAAGAAAAAGGGGCCATCAGCAGCTGTCCGAGCGCAGACCCCTGGTGGAAACACATCGCCAAGGTTCCACTCCAACTCACCGCCGGAGAAGTTGAAATGCTTTTTCATAAGTGCTTTTCATTGCCAGTCACCCCAGGCTCAGGGGAGGCAACCTGGAGGGGGCAGGGCACACTCAGGAGGGGGCATCACCCCAAGGGCCCCCATGGCTATGGAACTGGTAGGAACTCACAATGCACTAGATGGGGCTCTACAATCCGATTGAATGTCCCAACCAATGAGTTAAAAGCCAGCAATGTATATATACCATAGATATGGTATAAAAGATGTGTAGCAATGCTGTGAAAAAAAACTGAGAGCACCATCAACAAAAATAGACAGAACTAAGAGGCAACATGTAAAAGAAAAATAAAAAAGACCATACTGGTATGTCCCAAGATGCAGGGCTTCATGAACTTTTAAACATTTTAAAAAGAATTTTGTCAGAGAGGTTCTGGAACACTGTTCTGGTGTGTTCTCCCAGAAAAAAAGCCTGCCTAGGCTGTGGCAGAATTTATCAATATGGGCCTGAGTTTCTGTATAAATAATATTAATGAATCAATGCTAAAAGATCTTTTCAGTATAGCTGATGTGACATTCTTGTAAACTAGGGTTGACTGGCCCCTAATGCCCTTGGCCCTTCTATGTTTGAAAGAATAGTTTATATTATCCTACGGTTATCATTTCCTTCTCCAGCTTCCATGAGCCTTCACAATGTCCTTTTCAAGTGGAGGTCTATCATACATGACCTACCAATAAGGTTCTTAAAACACAGCTATGTTCTGCACTTCCCATGTTGACAAAATAAACAGTTAGTTTATTTTTGGAAGGTTCTCAGATTCTCAGAATGATATGATATGCTATGGCATCTATAATTCTCTATTTGCCACAGAACATTCTTTCCTATCTCTGATATTAGAGTGAAATTATATTAGAGATATTCTACTGTTAAAGTGTGTTAGCCTTACATCAGCCATTTTGATGGAACATATGGGACCAGAGGGTATAAATTGTTAAAGATTTGTTTGCTCTGGGCTGGCCATCCAACAACTCCTTGTGAGACCTTGACCAGTCCAGAACGTTCTGAGTTTTATATCAGTGCACTACTTTACGTCCTGGGTTTATGGTGAATATTCTATGCAGAATATTTAAATACTATGTATTCTGTCTTAAAGATTTATAATTGATACAGTGCTTTCTGTCTTAAAAGTTTGTACTGAAATAAAATAGTTTTGTTTTAGAACAATGGTCTCTCTATATATATACTTGATTATTCAGCCCCTTACCAGTCTCCAATCAACCAAGAAAAGAGCTCAGGGGAACTGGAGGGAGGGGCAGTAAAAGTCATGGGTCCCAGAATCCCACAACACAGGTATAAGGCTATGTGGATGATACTCAGCTGTACCTTTCCTTTCCACCTAATTTGGAGGATGCTGTTCATGTTCTGAACCAGTGCATGGAGTCAGGAATGGGCTGGATGAGGGTGAGCAAGCTGAAACTTAATCCTATCAAGACAGAGGTTCTCTTAGTTAGTAGAAGGGCAGACCAGGGACTTCACATCTCCCCTGTCTTGGGCAGGGTTATAATCCTTTTGAAAAGCCAGGTTGACAGCTTGGAAGTGCTGCTTGACATACCAGTCACCTTAGAAAACCAGGTGACTGCTGTGGCTCGGAGTGCATTTGCCAAGCTACGACTGGCTTATTAGCTCCATCTGTTCCCGGGTCAGTCAGATCTAACCACAGTGATCCATGCCTTAATTACATCTAGACTGGACTACTGCAGTGTGCTCTGCTTGGGGCTGCCCTTGGAGACTGTCTGGAACCTGCAGCTAGTGCAGAATGCTGCAGCTAGACTGCTGGTCTGGGCCAAATATCAGGAGCAATTATACTGGCTAAAGATCCACTCCCGAGTCCAACTAAAGTTGGTGCTTTTGACCTTTAAAGCCCTACATAGCTTGGGACCAGGGTATCCGAGGGACCTTCCCCCCCACATTCCTGCCCAGGAATTAAGGTAATGGGGAGAGGCCTTCCTGGCTGCCCCATCAATCAAAGAAGCTTATTTGGTGGGTACCTCAGAGAGGGCCTTTTCAGTGGCAGCCCCACAGTGACGGAACAACCTTCCCAGGGAGGTACACCTGGCCCCCCTCACCTTTGATTTTCAGGAGGCAGCGGAAGATGGTTCTATTTAGGACCGCATTTGATTAAAGCAGTCCTCCATTGGGATTTTACAGTTTGGAGTTTATGCTTTTTTATGTAATCTGTTTTAAGTGTTTTATTAATATTGTTAGCTGCCTTAAAATTGAATGAGCCAGTGAACGTTGCCCTCCCCTAAACAATAGCACCCCGATCTCCCTCACCTGACCCTCCCAGCTTTACCCATCTGGTATTTCTCCCGATCTGTTTGCCCCTTGGTTGCGCCCACGTTAGCGGCGTTGGCAAGAGTTTAAATATGCAAAGGAAGTGGAGCACTGACTGTTCAGAGAAAAATAAGCACGTTTATTAAGGAAGAACAAACTGTTGTAGAATCCAGAAGAGAGAGAACCTTAATGGTTTGTTCTTCTTTAAGAAACCTCCTTATTTTTCTTTAAACAGTCAGAGCTCCACTTCCTTTGCATATTTAGACACTGCCAACAGGGTTATGGGCCCAGCACACTTCCACTGCGTCCTTTCTCTACCCTTCTGCCTGGTTTGTGGGCATTTCCTTTTATGTCTTCCCATATGGAGGGTTCAGTCTTAGTTTTTTTTTGGTCAGGTAGGAGAGTCTTCTTGTTTTTTCCTCCTTCCGCAGTTAGGTTAGGCAGTTGAGGTTCTCTCTCTCTCTTCTATGTCCTATAATAGTTGGTTCCTCTTTAATAAACCTACGTGTTTTTCTCTAAAAGGTCAGTCCTCCACTTCCTTGGCATATTTAAACTCTGCCGACAATCCGCAGGCCCCACTGAACTCCTGCTTGTTCTCCTTCCCCCTCCAGCCCTCTACTCCAAGCCCAACTTGAGCCTGGAACCCAACAGAAACTTGAAGCCGGGCGACCTGGTCACCGTGACGTGCCACGCCTTCGCCGGGTATCCGGAGGCCACGGTGCTCTGGCAGGACGGCCGGGGCAACAACCTCACGGAGAACGTCACCACCTCACAAGTGGCCAACGAGGAGGGCCTCTTCGACGTGCACAGCATCCTCCGGGTGGTGCTGGAGCCGTACAGCACCTACAGCTGCCTGGTGAAGAACCCCCTGTTGGAACAGGAGACCCACACTTCCGTCACCATCACAGGTTGGTCGCGGGCGGGGAAATGTGGAGGACCGCATTCGGGTGTTCTTTGTTTGTTTTTGGGGGTATTATGTGTGTGTATATATGTGCGCGTGCCTGGAAGTCATGGCTGACTTTTGGTGACTCCAAGTGGGGCTTGGAGGCAAGGGGCGTTCAGAGAGATGGCTTGCTATCGCATGCCTCTGCCTCCCAGCCCTGGTATTCCTTGGAGGCCTCCCGTCCAGGTACTTGCCGGGGTCGGCCCTGCTTTCCTTCCGAGATCTGACGAGATCGGACTTCCCTGGGCTATCCAAGTCAGTGAGGACTGCATTCTGAGTGGCAAGCCGGGTCTTCGTGCGTGCCTCTGAGCCACGGCTCTATCCAAATGACAATGGGATGGATCTGACCATCCTCTAAGACGGCAGTTCCCAGTTTTTTTAGTATGGTGACCCATCCAAGGCTGGCCAGAATGGTGTAGTGGTTAAGAGCGGCAGGACTGTAGTGTGGAGAACCGGGTTTGATTCTCCACTCCTCCACGGGTAGCCAGCTGGGTGACCTTGGGTCAGTCACAAGTTCTCTCAGAACTCTCTCAGCCCCACCTCCCTCACAGGGCGCCTGTTGTGGGGAGAGGAAGGGAAGGAGATTGTAAGCCGCTCTGAGACACATGAGGCCTGCTGGGTGACCTTGGGTCAGTCACAAGTTCTCTCAGAACTCTCACAGCCCCACCTCCCTCACAGGGTGCCTGTTGTGGGGAGAGGAAGGGAAGGAGATTGTAAGCTGCTCTGAGACACACGAGGCCTGCTGGGTGACCTTGGGTCAGTCACAAGTTCTCTCAGAACTCTCTCAGCCCCACCTGTCTCACAGGGTGCCTGTTGTGGGGAGAGGAAGGGAAGGAGGGAAGGATCTTGTAAGCCGCTCTGAGACACATGGGGCCTGTGGGGCGACCTTGGACGAGCCACAGTTCTCTCAGAACTCTCTCAGCCCCACCTGTCTCACAGGGTGCCTGTTGTGGGGAGAGGAAGGGAAAGGCAATCGTAAGCCACTTCGAGACTCCTTAAGGTAAAGAAAAGCAGGGTACAAAAACCAACTCTTCTTTTCTTCTTAAGTTCTTTTGCCCCAAGGTTCTTTGGCACCCCAGGCACACGATGGTCTTGTCACCCGTCTAGTTCAGCGTTCCGTTTCGTACAGTAGCCACCCAGGTGCTTTTGAGAAACCAACAGACATCGCCCAAAGGCTGCTGCTACCCACACGATGAACCTCAAGCAAGTGGCATTCCAACATCGCCTTTGTACATGGGGGGTCAACATTCCGGCCTTTGGCTGCCCTCCCTTTCTCCATTACTCCCTCGAATCCCCCCTAGGACTCTATGAAGCTCCCTCTCATAATCATCGGGACACATTTTACTTGATCAACAGGTATATGCTGGGAAGAAATAACACCCAACTAATGTATGACGTGGAAGATACTGTTTCCAGGGTCGGATCTTGGCTCCCAAAAGACAGAAGAGAGCCATGGAAAGGGCACGGGCGGCCATTAGAGGGGACTGGCCTTCCATCCACGTTCAGTGGCTTTGCAACCTACTTTTGGGTCCTGACCCACAATTTTGGGAAACACCGCTCTAGGTAGCTTTCCTCCCATTTAAGGGAGTCTCAAGACCAACAAGATGTTCAGGGTATGAGCTTTTGAGATCCAAAGCTCAGAAGCAAGTAGGAATGGAGACCCCTGAGTCCTTACACCCCCAGTCAGAAGCAATGCGCCCTCTAAGCTGCGGAATCTTGTGAGCAAAAATTCTACTTTGTGAGCCGCCGGCATTCAAGTTGTGAGCGAGCGATTTGGCTGCTGCAGAAATTAGTCCGCTCCGGAGCCATTCCTTCCCGAGCTGAGACAAAAATGGGTGAAGCCGGAGGCTAAAAAAACTGTGAGCTGGCTCACACTGACTCAGCTTAGGGGGAACACCGGTCAGAAGGTAGGGAAGGGGTTGCAAGGAAGGGAGTCGGGATGCAGAGGTGCAGTGCAGAATGCAACCACCTTGATCAGAGCAGGGGAGAAATGCGTAGGGGGCAGAACGTCTACGTCGGTAGTTCGATGAGAATCCTACATCAAGCTGCGCACCTTTTGCCTTGTACCTCTGCATCTCTTTGCAACACCCCTTTTATTTATTATTAATTTATATATTTAGATTTATATCCCGCCCTAGGATTTTATCCCGTCCCCCCAGCAGCCCTGCAGTTTGGTGTAGTGGTTAAGAGCGTGGACTCTAATCTGGGAGAACCAGATTTGATTCCCCACTCCTCCACTTGCAGCCTCTGGATGACTTTGGGTCAGTCACAAGTTCTCTCAGAGCTGTTGTCTCACGCGCAGTCCTTGAAAGAGCTCTCTCAGCCCCACCTACCTCCCAGGGTGTCTGTTGTGGGGAGGGGAAGGGAGAGGAGATGGGCGTAAGCCGCTCTGAGACTCCTTCAGGTAGTGAAGGGTGGGGGTATATATCCAATCTCCTGCTCCTCCTCCTCCTCCTTCCTTGGCCTGCTAAAGTCCCAGCCCGGCATTTGGGAAAGGATGTTTGCTCTTGTACCGTTCAGGGTTGTTCTGTTGGCTGGCGACAGCCTCCGATAATAAGAGCAGGGAGAGGGAGGTGTGAAAACAGATCATAAAGATCGCTGGGCCCAGTTTATTAAGCTCCGTTTATTGTACAGGAGGCTCCCTGCTACACCGGCATCATCAGTCAGCGGGGCTGCTTTCCCGACAATTAATGTCTAGTTCAGCAAGAGTTTTTCAGCTCTGTTTATCCCAAGCAGGCCTAGTGGAGAGGGACGGGTTTGGACGTACTACTGGGCAGGGATCTAGCTGCTCTACGCAAACAAACAGGGCTGGCTACTGAAACTGTATTCACGTTTGTGTGAACGTAAGGAGCTTGGTGGTAGGTATGTGCTCTGCTCAAGAAATACATCCTGTCCTTGGATGTTTGTGGCGGATTTCTTGGCACTGGTGCCCCTCGGATTTCCCCAGACTATCTTGCAGGGGTGTTTGTTGTCCCAGGAGGTCGGACCAGAACCGATGGATTGAAATTGAATCCAAAGAGTTTTCGGCTGAACATTAGGAAGAACCTCCTGACAGTTAGAGTGGAGCCAGTGTGGTGTGGCGGACTCTAATCTGGGAGAACCGGGTTTGATCCCCCACTCCTCCACATGCAGCCCGCAGGGTGACCTTGGTTCAGTCGCAAGTTGTCTCAGAGCTGTTCTCTCAAGGGCAGTTTTCGAAAGAGCTCTCTCAACCCCGCCTACCTCACAGGGTGTCTGTAGTGGGGAGGGGAAGGGAATGGAGACTGTACGCTGCTCTGAGACTCCGAGTGAAGGACGGGGCATAAAACCAATATCCTCCTGTTCTTCATCTTCTTCCTCCTTCTCCTCCTCTTCCTCCTTCTTAGTGGAGCAGGCTTCCTCAGGAGGTGATGGGTTCGCCGTGCTGGCTCAGCCGGTCACCACAGTTGCCACACACTAGAAACGGGATACGCAGTCCGAAATCAAATCAGACAATGGAGCCGAAGGTCAGAAAGCCGGGAAGTCAGTCAAAGGTTGCTAGGAGCCGGGAGCGGTTGCTACAAGCCAGGATCAGATCCTAGCATACACGGTTGTGAAGCAGAGGCTAGATGGCCATCGGATAGCAGTGCAGATTTTGTGAATTTAGGCAGATCGGAAGGGTCAGCGCTTAGGTCCTGTGGCCCCTTCTTTTACACCCAGGCTAATGTCTGTTGCCACTTTGGGGTCAGGAACGAATCTCCCTCCAGGCCTGATTGGCCCAGGGGTCACTGGAGGGCAGGCTTCCCAAGTACTTACCGTGATTCAGCGGGGGGACACAGACGTCCTTGCAGGATCATTCCCGCGGGGACAACAGACGCACCGCACCATGCCGTCGCCAGGAAGTGACGCCGGGCGACGCTCTGGCAATGGGGCTGGAAACTCGATGGTACCATTGAGTTTTCAGTCCCA